TTCCTACAGTCTGTAGACAACCCTTTAAAATCCAGTTTCTTTCTTGGGCAGGAAAATACTTGAAAATTTATTAAATACAGCTTTTCAGCATCAACCATACAAGCAATTCTCACATGACTATTCAGTTTAAATGTTAGGCATATTTCTTAGAATGAGTTTGAGATTCATATTCCTGTTAAAATTCATTTAATAGAAACACTTCGTAGCATTTGGGTAAATTAGTTCCTTTTCCTAAAATCTTCTGCCTGACAGGCTAGACTACATGAGGCAATAGAAGAAAAGCTATTGTACAAGAGGGCAAATCCACCCACAGGAATTCAATTCTTTTTCATCACCTGTATGTTCACAAGACATTTTTAGTTACTTATGCAGGTCTTAGTGGTAAATTTGAAAAGCTCTGGACTAAAGAACTTCTTCTAGGCAAGTACTTAAGTTTTATGTTTCACCCTTATAGTCACTCCTACTGTGCTTCCCTCAGTGGTAATGCTGAATTAGTTCTGAACTACTAAAACCTTTAAAAAGTTTGAAGCAGATTTTCTTGATTTAAAAATGATGATTTATGATTATGCGAACTAGGTTTAATATGCATTAGGAATTCAAATGCTGTTGCAGTAATTTTTTAGTAAAAGCTGCTTTTTAGAACTAGCTTTGCACATTCTCTTCACAAGCAGTAATTATTCATCTATAGAGTAATTTATTTCTTCTGGTTTTAATATGTTAGAGATGAATGGTTATATGTCTTTCCTGTTAGAGCATTACAAGACAGGCCACTCTTGCATTAGGCTGGTACTACAACAGACACCTGTGGTGCTCTGTTTTGTCAGTTTTGCAAAGGCTTTTCTAGCTCTAGCATAGCTGGTAAGACTCAAGTGCATGCTTAGCTATTTAAAGAATGATGTTCATCTCAAGACACTTTAAGAGCTGCAGTTAGGAAAGTTACCCCACAGTCCTATGTCTCCTTGAAAATCCCCAGACACTGGCCTTTTCTACCAGGTCTAGTTAGGCAAAGCATGCTAAACTGCATGGGGACTTGACTCCCATCTAATACCATAACTTATCTCCAGCAGCATCCAGTTCTGGCACACTCAGAGGTGCAGGACACTCTGTAGTAGGCAAAGTGTGTTCTGTGACAGGGGAGGTTTTCCTCTTGCACCCTAGTTGTTAAGTGTTTTACACAGTGGCATAACTAACAGGTTTGAAAGAGGCAAATGTTCTGTAAAGTCTTTCTGTAATAGCCAGAAGGTCTCTCTTGCCATGGGAAGCCTAGTCATTCTTTTTGGTCTTAAATTCTTGACCTCCATGAGATCATGAGGTTCTGCATCATAACGGATTTCTGGAAAGTAGATTGGACACTACCCTTACACAGTAGTGGGTACCATACAAGTGGTAAGCATACTGTTGTAAAAATAAAACACATGACTGTCGTGGTTTAACCCCAGACAGCAGCCAAGCAGCACACAGACACGCACACACTGCCCCCCACCAACAGGATGGGGGAGAGAATCAGAAAGGTAAAAGCTAGAAAAGCTCATGGGTTGGGATAAGGACAATTAAATAGAGAAAGCAAAAACTGCACACACAAGCAAAGCAAAACAAGGAATTAATTCACTGCTTCCTACAGGCAGGAGGTGTTTAGCCATCTCCAGGAGAGCAGGGCCCATCACACATAACGGTTCCTTGGGAAGACAAACGCCATCACTCCAGATGTCCCCCCTTCCTCCTTCTTCCTCCCAACTTATATACTGAGCATGATGTCATATGGTATGGAATATCCCTTTGGTCAGTTTGGGTCACCTGTCCCAGCTGTGTCTCCTCCCAGTCTCCCATGCATCCCCAACTTCCGTGCCAGTGTGGCAGCACGGAAAGCAGCAAAGGCCTTGACTCTGTGTGAGCTCTGCTTGCCAGTAACGAAAGCATCTCTGCATTATCAACTCTGTGTTCTGCACAAATCCCAAACGTAGCCCCATACGAGCTGCTGGGAAGAAAGTTAACTCCACTTCAGCCCAAACCAGCACAGGGATGGAGAATCCAAGCCAAAAGTCTAGTAAAAGTAAAACAGTATCCAAGCCTATGCTTTTTCATTTTATACTAGTGAATTATACTAATGATTTAAAAAAGAAAGCCTCATCTGGACTATGTTGGAGGAATGAATATTAGCAACTTTATGGCAAGAATAATCTTTTAAATGATTTGTTGATTTGTTGGTTCATGTGAGAAAACCTGTAAAAGGTATGACTCAAAATATCTGATCTCCCTATTTGATAGGAAGAAGTGGGGGGAAATGGAAAAATGAAAAGCATCATTGGCATAACTGGAATCAGTGATGTACCCTCATCTAAAAGAGGAAAGGTGAAACAAAGTGGCATGATGGATGTGCTGAATACTCCAGAAACCTAGTTTCCTAAGGATTGATTGATGAAATCTCTTGGATAAAAGCATGAAGCACAGAAGTCAAAAGGGATACAAGAATTGTTATATACTTTTGATAGGAATGGCAATAAGCTTTTTTTATTATTTTCAGTACTTAAAGTTAGAATTGGGGAGGGAGGATGAAATACCTGTGTCTCTGTAATGAGCTTGTGTGAGCATGCATTTGTGTGGGTTTTCAGATTACCAGTTAGAAAAGTTTTGTACAACAAAAATAAAATTGAACAGATCTGTCAGTCTGACTTGTACCATAGCTACAGTGCACCTTAGCTTTGCTTCAGAAGTTGAATCATTACTTCATGAATGAAGAGCAGTGTGCACCTGAGCTTGGAGAATAGAAGATTGCGTGGGGACCTCATAGAAATCTTCCGGTATCTGAAAGAGCCTGCAGAGAAGCTGGAGAGGGACTCTTTGTTAGGAATTGCAGTGATGGGACAAGGAGTAGTGGGCATAAATTGAAAGAGGGGAAATCTAGATTAGATATTAGGAAGAGTTTTTTTCCTGTGAGGGTGGTGAGACACTGGCACACGTTGCCCAGAGAGGTTGTGGATTCCCTAACCCTGGCAGTGTTCAAAGCCAGGCTGGATGAGACCTTGAGCAACCTGGTCTGATGAGACCGTGTCCCTGCCCATAGCAGGGGTTTGGAGCTAGGTCTCTGAGGTCCATTCCAACCCTTTAACATTCTGTGATTTCACCCATCAAATGTCCTTGTCATTTAACACTCAATGCCAAACAGTTCTGTTTTCTTAACTTCTTGGCTACGATGAATCCAGTGGTGTTCGGCATGTACGTAGGATGTTCCACCCGGGCCGGGGTCTGGGAGGCCCCCGTGCACGTAGATCAAACATGCACTTTACTACCAGTTCTCCTGGTGGGCTTTCATCTTCTCAGAGTTCCTATTCTCCAAGCAATAGAGAAGCCATGGATCCTATAGCTGGTAAGAGCTCTTAACCACAAATTTTACACCAATGTCCTTCTCTCACGGCAGAAAATTTAGGATGATGATGCTTGCCTGCTTTCTGTTGTTGTGGAGCTGCATGTCTAGGTATATTCCACAGCACATGTGTGAGTGTTGGCTGCTTGCAGGTGAGCAGTGTTTGGCTGGGTGCAGATGCCGAAGGTGAACCTGCTTGTGCTTTGAATTCCAAACCGTGTAAGGCTTATTCCGAAACCTCTAATCTATGCACTGGTATTGAATATTTGTACAAGTGATTGTGTCCAATTTCTGTCATCTACTTTAGTGTCTGTTATTTTGATTTGCTTTGTGGATAAAGGTATTTATGGAAGAGAGTATGTGTCTCAGAGAGGATGAAATTAGCTGAATTTGAGGGTTAATGAACATATAAAATTGGTTCAGTTTGCATTCAGGCTGCTGTTTGAATGCTAGGCTTGCTGATACTACAGATTTCTTTTTAAGATTTACTTGTAAATTCTTTTATGAGCTTAATGTTGCAGTTATTCAAAGTGGGTGGTTTGGTCAAGGTTAGAAAAATTGTGAGGAGGGGAAGGGTCTCTTACTTTCAACACCAGAAGACAATGGTCTTTATGGTTCCTAGGAATAACTTGTTTGGCCTGTTTGTCTCCAATGAAAATACCTTTTATTTACAGGAAAGAAAAAAGCAGATAACAAAGACAATTCTGAAAAAAATGTACTTTTGCCTCAGGGGAAATCTAAACATTGTCATGCAGTCTTTGACTATCTTAGCAAAAGTGTCAGGGAAACCAGTGTCCACCACAAATCCACCTTTGCTTCAGATGCCAAGGAGATACAATGCTTAAACTGCGTCTTCCTACTATCACACTCAGAGTTCTTCAGAGGGAGGGGAGCTGTGGTTCCACTGCCCTCCTTAATCGTGGTCTCCTTTGCCCGCTTTCTGCTGGATCTGGTGCTCTGCTGCGCTGGTGTGACCTGATTTGACTTGTTAAATTGGCTGGGAAGAAGTATCCCATCAAGAGAAGAAAATAAATTAAGCAGGATCACAGGAGGGTCTAAAAAAGACTGAAATTTGTTGAAGTAGGGAGGATGTGAAACTTCCAGTGCAAGACCTTGTCTTTCATTTGCAAGGGCAGCTAGTCCAGCTCAGTTAAATTCTTTATGGATAAAACTTGCTATAAGCATTCCATCCTTCTGAATTGGAAGACTTAAGAACAGAGGGGTTTTAATCACTAGGCCTTCTCTGTGCTTCAGACAGAAATAAAAATTTGTACAGCAAAAATCTCCTGATGTGAAGAAATTCTTTAATATGTTTTCTTACTAAATGGTTTTCATTAAGTTTGAAGCAACGGTACAGTATTTCTCTTTGCTGCAGCACAGCTCTCCTCTGGGAAGCTTGTGTTTTGAGGGAAAATTTGTTGAAAGGAAAAAAAATCACCAACCAAAGCCAAAATGAAGTTTCTTAGTCAGTTGCTGTTTTGACTTGGAAGTGTCAGAACGTCCTATCTTTTTCCAGGCATTTTCTGTAGATTGGCTCTCCTGTCATTGTTAAGGCATTAAACTGTGATTTGTTACTTGGACTAAATGTGCATAAATTAGTCTTAATCATCCTTATCCTCGGAGCCATTGAATGGTAGGACTTTTTTCAAAAGCTTCATGGGCTCTTTGAGCATTGTTTGCTCTTTGATGTTGATTTTAAAATGGAATTGATGCCCTGGAATTCAGGGTTTGTCCATTCTGTTGTGTAATGCTCATTTAAGATTTCTCATTATAGAAGCTTTCTCTTCTCTGGCAGAGCTTTTATCTCAGCTGTCAGGCGTGAGGCGTTCTGCAGGAGGACAGCTCAACTCCTCTGGCCCTTCTGCTTCTCAGTTACAGCAGCTGCAGATGCAACTGCAGTTGGAACGACAACATGCACAGGCAGCAAGACAGCAACTGGAGACTGCACGCAATGCAACTAGGCGCACCAACACGATCAATGTCAACACCACTATGACACAATCTGCGGCAACAACCAATACATCTAACACAGAAAACACTCAGCAGACTATCCAGAATTCACAGTTCCTTCTTACAAGGTAACTTGTTCAGTGTACTTACTTGTATTTACCTCTTACCATTTCTGTTTCCCTTTGGGCTGGTAGAGATAATAGAGCTTAGTGAAACTTAACCATTTGGAGTTAGGCACACGCCTGGGGTGCCATTAATTAACAGAATAATTACCTGGTTTAGAAATTACATGTAGATCCCAGGGTTGTTTTAAACAAAGGAGACACGTAATTGAGTAAGAAATGGCAGCAGCCCTCTCTAAAAGGCTCCTGAATAGCAGGAAGCCTCATAAATAGTATTTTGTTTTCCTGTAGCTTTGGGCTCCACAGTGAATGCTGTTGCAGCAGCAGGGACAGGGTGGGATGTTCTGTGCATGCCTGTTGTGCTGAGGTGCCAGAGAGTGCCAGTGCCACACGTGTTGAAGCACAGGCAGGACTGTCCTGAAAGAGCAGTTTTTGAGTGCATCTCGGCGCCCGTCAGTAGTGTCACCAGTGAAATGAGCTTTCAGCAACTGGTTGTCTTCTCTTCCCTTGCTGCTGTACAGGTTGAATGATCCCAAGATGTCGGAAGCAGAGCGTCAGTCAATGGAAAGCGAACGGGCAGACTGCAGCCTGTTTGTTCAGGAGCTTCTACTGTCCACTTTGATGCAGGAAGAAAGTTCCTCCTCAGATGAGGATGAGCGGGGGGAGATTGCAGATTTTGGTGCTATGGGCTGTGTAGATATTATGCCTCTAGATGTTGCTTTAGAAAACCTAAATTTAAAAGAGAGTAATAAAGGAAACGAGCCTCCTCCACCTCCTCTTTGATGACATCCCACTTTGCAGACAATGTCCTCTGTGCTGTATTTGCCAATG